AAAAAAAAAAATGCACTTTTTTTACCTGCAAAAAAGAGGTACATTTATTATTTTTTTTCTACAAAGGTGAATTTATCCTTTAAAACGTGTTCAAAATTGGATACATTATAGACCCTTTGGGGGGTGCAGCTCTCCATAGAACTAATTAGCTTCCAGGTTTTATCGCCACAGCTTAATTAAACAAGCTGAAGTTAGAAGCTGATTGGCTACCATACACAGCTGCACCAGATTCTGAGTGCTCCAGTTTTTAGTAAATCTGCCCCTATATGTCACAGTTGTAAACTGAATTATTAGGCTCTCCTGCACATGCTGTGGCACTGTGCAAAATTTTTCAGATACTCTGACTTTTTAACTATGGCCGTTGACAGTAGAAAATGTGCACAATGGAAATGTTTGTTTCATTTCGGATGCACTGGAGCACTTTAATGAAGAAAAAGCACTGCTACACATCAATTGTTATTGAATGTTTGGCATTGTTTGGACACTTGGTTTAAGTTGCATATACTTTAATAGTATGTGTGGAGTGATACACTGATCACTTACAATATTTATAATATATCCCTGTATAGGGACTCATTTATCTTGCACTTTACTTAATATTAATTATTGTATATTTATGAAATAGCGCCACACCATTTTTTGTATATTTCATTATATATTAGAAATATTATCAAATTGGACAGATTCGAATCGAAAGGATTCAATATTTTTGGATGCTAGTCCAACCCACCAAGAGAAATGGCATGAGCTGATTGGACAAAGTCGACTGGCGTCATGTGCATCTGAATTAACGAATAAAAGAAATTCGGAAGCATTTGTTATCCGAATTATCAAACAAATTTGGAAACTGAATTAGTTTCCCCATGGGCCCAAACTACTATCGCATCATGTGATTTCATCTGAATGAAACAATTTAATTTCATAACTTTTTTTTGGATTCATTGACATTCGCTACTATGTCCAATTGGAGATTCATATACATCCGAGACTCCGAAGATGAGATTTTTCAGGTTGTAGACAGAAGAATGGGCAGGTCCATGCAGAGGTCATGGCAGGCAGTAAGCAAGAGTAAACAGGCCAATTCAGGTCAGCAACAAGCAAGGCAATTGGGAAGTATAAGGCCCCTTTTGCTCAAATGTTCCAATTGGGTCCACCTGTCTGTTTTTCAGGCGGACTTGAATGGAACCTCCATTCTCTTCTATGCAGTGTTGGGTGTAAACAGACATGTGTCTTTCACACCTGCCTACATTCAATCTGATCTACTAAAAACAAATGGATAAGATCCATTCCCTCCCATCTGGTCAGATCAGATGGCAGTCAAGTGTAAACAGACAGGCGGTTCGTTTACATGTGACCGCCCATAGAGGAGAACAGGCTGTGTCCATGTCTGCTTTGCATAACCGCATCTGGACCTGTCATCCGCCTGCTCAGTGGGGATAAGCAGACAAATCCTCTGATTAACAAGTGTATCGCAGGTAGAGTCCGCCCCAGGGGCGGACTGACAACTCATAGGGCCCCCGGGCAATAGGGGATCATAGGGCCCCTGTGTCTTTGCCCAAACTAAAAAAAGCCTATGAAAAAGGTACCAGGGGCATCTCATGGGGCCCCCCTACTGACCCGGGCCCTCGGGCAGTGCCCGAGTTTCCAAATGGTAAGTCCGCCCCTGGTCCGCCCCATGTGAAAGAGTAGCTAATTTGCACAAAGGATAGTTGGTGATAGGATACCTCACCAGCCAGTTTAAAGGCTGTTGTTTAAATACCCTTTAGGTCACACCTAGTGTAGTTTCAGGGAATTCTAGAAGTCCTGGCAGGGATGTGTGATAGCATGGGAAGTTCTGGCAAAGATTCTGAGAGAGAAGAAGTTCTGGAAGTTCTGGCAAGGATTCTGCAAGTATAGTAATGGCAAGACCGGTGGGGCTTTGGGGATTGTTATACTTGGAAGGCGGAGAAGGTGTGGAGGGAGAGAAAGCAGAAAGCAATGTACCAGTAAGGTTTGTTTGCAAGGCTAAGGGAGCAACCATACAGACCTTTGCTGCAGAGTATCTTGCTTACTGACTCTGGATCTTTAATTCATAAAATGTATGAGTTGGAGCTACAAATTGCTGTATATAATTTCTCTATGATGATCATAACTGTGATTTGGCTTTGCCTACAAATTCCAGATGCAGAAGTACAGAGAGTGGGTCGTATAATCCACTGTCACAGTAGGAATAAAGACTCTGCTAGTCAGTAGAGGTGGTGGACCTTGCGTTCATGTGCTTAATGATTGCGGCACTGATAGCAAAATAGACATTTACTGCTCTCCCGCTCTGAACTCAAGTCACTAATTAAATTGTTATTAATCCCAAGACCAAAAATGTAATAAATTGCAGTTTACCAATCCTTACGTGTGGTGACTGCATCAGTTTTTTGGTAGGCCTTTTTCCTTCTGTTTTCACCTGGTGATCTAGCCAGTAACACACACCTCCTGTATTAGAGTGTCCCTTCTCTGGAAGAATGAGCACAAGGGCACCATTGGACAACAGTATTTTTATTCTGGGAGGAGGGTAGTGCTAGATACACTAGAAGATTTAGATACATTAAAAAATTGACTCGTCAAAGTGATACTACCCATACAGAAGAAAAATAATATTTGAAATATATTTTAAAAATATTCTTACCAAATATATTGACATATATTTGAAATACTACAATATTGGCCATATTCAATATATTTCAAAATATATTTCAATAAAAAAAAAATATATATATATATATATATACACACTGTATGTTGAAATGGTTTTTATTACAAAATATATGAAAAATATTTTTAAAAATACATTTCAAATATACTGTATGTCTTTAAAAAATACAAATCTACATTTTTGGAATGCATTTACAAATATATGTAAAAATATATGTTAAAATTACTTACTTTTTTCTATGTTAAAAAAAAATCTGAAGAATATATTAAAAAAATATATATTTTTTAAAATATTTTTCATATATTTTGTAATATAAAAAAACACATTTCAATATGCAGTATATATAAATTGTAGTATTTTAAATATACGTCAATATATTTGGGAAAAATATTTTAAAATATATTTCAAATATATATTTCCATGTGGGTAAACGCAATTAAAAAACAACAAAAAACAAACATGTTATACTTACCTGCTCTATGCAGTGGTTTTTGCACAGAGCAGCCCTTATTCTCCTCTTCTTGGGTCTCCTGACAGTGCTCCTGGCCCCTCCCTCCTGCCAAATGCCCCCAGAGCAAGCCTTTCTCAAAGAAAACCCATACCCAGACTATGCACACTAAAATATTTACATATTGTAAACAAGCAGTAAAAGCACCTTAAAAGTCCCCTCTGCTGACCTATGTACCTGTCAGGAATGGACTGGCCAGCAATAGTGGGACTCACCTGCCTATGAGCTGCAGTACCAGGGCTGGCCAGCGGGTGCTCCCAGCAATCAGAGACTCAACCTTGCAGCCAGTCAAACACCTGGAACTAATTATACTGGTGTATTTAAGGGACATTCAGACCTGCAGACTCTGCCTTGGTGTTGTGTTTCTCCTGGGCCCTGTTTCCTGTTCCTGTCCCTGTCTGATTCTCTGCTGACCCTGCTCTGATCCCTGGCTTGTCTGACAATTCTCCTCTGCCTGCCCTCTGTACCACGCTGCCCGCTACCTGCTGAACCTGGCTTGTGACCCCGACCATTCTCCGCTTGCTCCCCCTGTACCTACCTGCCCGATTGATATTGACCCGGCCTGCCTGACGACTCTTGCATTGTATGTACTGTTATCTGTGGGTGGTTGGCTTGGTTTGGTTTGTTGCACTGTGTTATGTTTTAGTATTGCACTGCGTTTATGTTTGTATTGTTAGTGTTAATAAATTACATTGTTTATAACATATCTGAAGTCTGCGTTTCCCTGCGTCAGTCACACACCTCTGGTCACACCCGGGAGCCCTGATATTACACCAAGGCCAATCCTGACCAGAAGTGGCTGCACAGGGAAGCCATCTTGGCTTGTTGATGGGAAGGATGGATCTTGATGAGGTTGTGTATTTATATCTGCTTGTGTTTGATGACAGAGAGTATGCTTATCAAACTCTGAAGGAGTATCCCCCGGGATGAACTGCTAGAATGTATACGGCTCGCTCATGTTCTAGTAGATCAGGGCACAGAATTCTCTGAGGTGCAGCCATTGATTCAGATTTGTGCGGAGTTGGTTTCATCTGGTACCCCCGAATGCAGGGATGAATTTTTGCCGCCATTTAGTGCCAACCAGGTAGAGTCCCTGGTATGGTTATTAGAGGATGATGTGGATTGCTTCTTGGAGCATTATGCTGCATGTTCACCACAGACACTAAGAGATTGTATAAACGCAGTGCAGTCTTTAGTCAGACAGGCTTTGTGTAAGCTCAGCTTTGTTCAACCCATACTGCAGACATGAACAGACTTGTTGCACCCAGCCTCAGTCAGCTTACAAAAACCCAGTCCTGCTTCTAATCTATTTCCTCAAAGCTCTGTTCCTGCATTCCCAACAGCTCCTCCTGCCCTGCTATCTACCGCATGTCAGTACCCTGTTCCCACTCGCTGCACCTATCCTGCCTTTAACCCTGTAAAGAAGCCTCTGTAGCAACTGCTCCCTCCTCTGTTCCATCCTCCAGCTCTTCTCTGTCTCCAGCTGCTCCATTCGTTTGCAGACCTGCGTTTACTTGCAGTGCTCCAGTAGTTAAAACCAGAAAAAAGCGAAAATTCTTTCCAACCAATACCATCCTGCCAGTATCCAAACCGGTGAACCTGCCTTCCGTGGTTCAGCCTGAAGCCTCTACTCAGCCTGAAGCCTCTACTCAGCCTGAAGCCTCTACTCAGCCTAAAGCCTCTACTCAGCCTGAAGCCTCTACTCAGCCTGATGCCTCTACTCAGCCTGATGCCTCTACTCAGCCTGATGCCTTTACTCAGCCGGATGTCTGCATTCAGCCTGATGCCTCTACCCAGCATGATGAACTGATCCAGCCTGACGATCCTATTAGGCCTGGTGACCGATGCCCGCTGTCGAGCCAGTTGACTCAGAGCCCGCTGTCGTGCCTGGTGACTCGGTGCCCGCTGGCGAGCTAAATGACCTGATGCCTGGTGACCCAGTGCCCGCTGTCATACCTGGTGACCCGATGCCCGCTGTCGAGCCAGACGATCCAATGCCTGGTGACCCGGGTGCCCACTGCCTTGCCAGATGACGCGGTGCCCGCTGGCAAGCCAAATGACCTGATGCCTGGTGACCCAGTGCCCGCTGTCATACCTGGTGACCCGATGCCCGCTGTCGAGCCAGACAGTCCGGTACCTGATGACCCGGTGCCCGCTGTCGTGCCAATTGAGTCAGAGTCCACTGTCGTGCCTGGTGATTCGGTGCCCGCAGTCTTCCCAGACGACTCGGTGCCCGCTGTTCCGCCAGTTGACTCGATGCCCGCTGTTCCGCCAGACGACTCGGTGCCCGCAGTCTTGCCAGACGACTCGGTGCCCGCAGTCTTGCCAGACGACTCGGTGCCCGCAGTCTTGCCAGACGACTCGGTGCCCGCAGTCTTGCCAGACGACTCGAAGCCCGTTGTTCCACCAGTTGACTCGATGCCCGCTGTTCCGCCAGTTGACTCGATGCCCGCTGTTCCGCCAGTTGACTGGGTGCCCGCAGTCTTGCCAGATGACTCGGTGCCCGCAGTCTTGCCAGACCACTCGGTGCCCGTAGTCTTGCCAGACGACTCGGTGCCCGCTGTTCCGCCAGACGACTCGGTGCCCGCAGTCTGGCCAGACGACTCGGTGCCCGCAGTCTGGCCAGACGACTCGGTGCCGGCAGTCTTGCCAGACGACTCGGTGCCCGTAGTCTTGCCAGACGACTCCATGCCCGCTGTTCCGCCAGACGACTCGGTGCCCGCAGTCTGCCCAGACGACTCGGTGCCCGCAGTCTTGCCAGACGACTCGGTGCCCGCAGTCTTGCCAGACGACTCGGTGCCCGCAGTCTTGCCAGACGACTCGGTGCCCGCAGTCTTGCCAGTTGACTCGGTGCCCGCTGTTCCGCCAGTTGACTCGGTGCCCGCAGTCTTGCCAGATGACTCGGTGCCCGCAGTCTTGCCAGACGACTCGGTGCCCGCAGTCTTGCCAGACTACTCGAAGCCCGCTGTTCCGCCAGTTGGCTCGGTGCCCGCAGTCTTGCCAGTTGACTCGGTGCCCGCAGTCTTGCCAGTTGACTCGGAGCCCACTGTCGTGCCTGGTGACTCGGTGCCCGCCGCTCCGCCTGGGGGCCCAAGACCTGTCGCTCCGCCTGGGGGTCCGGCGCGCCCGCCGCTCCGCCTGGGGGTCCGGCGCCCGCCGCTCCGCCTGGGGGGTCCGGCGCCCGCCGCTCCGCCTGGGGGCCGATGCCCATCGCCCTGTCGGGGGGCCCAGCGCCCGCCGCTCCGCTTGGGGGCCCGATGCCCGTCGCCCCGCCGGCGGGCCCGATGCCTGTCGCCCCGCCTGGGGGCCCGATGCCTGTCGCCCCGCCTGGGGGCCCCGATGCCTGTTGCCCCTCCTGGGGGCCCGGTGCCCGCCGCTCCGCTTGGGGGGCCCGATGCCTGTCGCCCCTCCTGGGGGCCCGGCGCCCGCCGCTCCGCTTGGGGGCCCGATGCCCATCGCCCCGCCGGGGGGCCCGATGCCTGTCGCCCCTCCTGGGGGCCCGGCGCCCACCGCTCCGCTTGGGGGGCCCGGTGCCTGTCGCCCCGCCGGGGTGCCCGTCGCCCCGCCTGGGGGCCCGGTGCCTGCTGCTCCGCCTGGGGGCCCGGTGCCTGCTGCTCCGCCCGGTGGCCCGCTGCCTGCTGCTTCGCCTGGTAATCCGATGTGCCTCTGCCCGGAGTCCAGCCTGATGTGCCTCTGCCCGGAGTCCAGCCCGATGTGCCTCTGCCCGGAGTCCAGCCCGATGTGCCTCTGCCCGGAGTCCAGCCCGATGTGTCTCAGACGACTCGGTCCCGCAGTCTTGCCAGACGACTCGGTGCCCGCAGTCTTGCCAGACGACTCGGTGCCCGCAGTCTTGCCAGTTGACTCGGTGCCCGCTGTTCCGCCAGTTGACTCGGTGCCCGCAGTCTTGCCAGATGACTCGGTGCCCGCAGTCTTGCCAGACGACTCGGTGCCCGCAGTCTTGCCAGACTACTCGAAGCCCGCTGTTCCGCCAGTTGGCTCGGTGCCCGGCAGTCTTGCCAGTTGACTCGGTGCCCGCAGTCTTGCCAGTTGACTCGGAGCCCACTGTCGTGCCTGGTGACTCGGTGCCCGCCGCTCCGCCTGGGGGCCCGAGACCTGTCGCTCCGCCTGGGGGTCTGGCGCCCGCCGCTCCGCCTGGGGGTCCGGCGCCCGCCGCTCCGCCTGGGGGCCCGATGCCCGTCGCCCCGTCGGGGGGGCCCGGCGCCCGCCCGCTCCGCTTGGGGGCCCGATGCCCGTCGCCCCGCAGGGGGGCCCGATGCCTGTCGCCCCGCCTGGGGGCCCGATGCCTGTCGCCCCGCCTGGGGGCCCACTGCCTGTCGCCCCTCCTGGGGGCCCGGTGCCCGCCGCTCCGCTTGGGGGCCCGATGCCTGTCGCCCCTCCTGGGGGCCCGGCGCCCGCCGCTCCGCTTGGGGGCCCGATGCCCGTCGCCCCGCCGGGGGGCCCGATGCCTGTCGCCCCTCCTGGGGGCCCGGCGCCCGCCGCTCCGCTTGGGGGCCGGTGCCTGTCGCCCGCCGGGGGGCCCGGTGCCCGTCGCCCCGCCTGGGGGCCCGGTGCTGCTGCTCCGCCTGGGGGCCCGGTGCCTGCTGCTCCGCCCGGTAGCCCGCTGCCTGCTGCTTCCCTGGTAATCCGATGTGCCTCTGCCCGGAGTCCAGCCTGATGTGCCTCTGCCCGGAGTCCAGCCCGATGTGCCTCTGCCCGGAGTCCAGCCCGATGTGCCTCTGCCCGGAGTCCAGCCCGATGTGTCTCTGCCCGGAGTCCAGCCCGATGTGCCTCTGCCCGGAGTCCAGCCCGATGTGCCTCTGCCCGGAGTCCAGCCCGATGTGCCTCTGCCCGGAGTCCAGCCCGATGTGCCTCTGCCCGGAGTCCAGCCCGATGTGCCTCTGCCCGGAGTCCAGCCCGATGTGCCTCTGCCCGGAGTCCAGCCCGATGTGCCTCTGCCCGGAGTGCCGCTGCCCGGTGTGCCTCTGCCCGGAGTGCCGCTGCCCGGTGTGCCGCTGCCCGGAGTGCCTCTGCCCGGAGTCCAGCCCGATGTGCCTCTGCCCGGAGTCCAGCCCGATGTGCCTCTGCCCGGAGTCCAGCCCGATGTGCCTCTGCCCGGAGTCCAGCCCGATGTGCCTCTGCCCGGAGTCCAGCCCGATGTGCCTCTGCCCGGAGTCCAGCCCGATGTGCCTCTGCCCGGAGTCCAGCCCGATGTGCCTCTGCCCGGAGTCCAGCCCGATGTTCCTCTGCCCGGAGTCCTGCCCGGTGTGCCAGTCTTTGATATCCCGCCAGTTACCAGACCCGGGCGGTGGAACATTTTGCCCAGCTAGGACTGGGGGGGGGGGGGGGGGGGGGGGGGGGGGGGGGGGGGGGGTTTGGAGCGTCCTGAGGCCGCTCCTTGAGGGGGGGGGTACTGTCAGGAATGGACTGGCCAGGAATAGTGGGACTCACCTGCCTATGAGCTGCAGTACCAGGGCTGGCCAGCGGGTGCTCCCAGCAATCAGAGACTCAACCTTGCAGCCAGTCAAACACCTGGAACTAATTATACTGGTGTATTTAAGGGACATTCAGACCTGCAGACTCTGCCTTGATGTTGTGTTTCTCCTGGGCCCTGTTTCCTGTTCCTGTTCCTGTCTGATTCTCTGCTGACCCTGCTCTGATCCCTGGCTTGTCTGACCATTCTCCTGCTCCTGATCCCTGGCTTGTCTGACCATTCTCCTCTGCCTGACCCTCTGTACCACGCTGCCCGCTACCTGCTGAACCTGGCTTGTGACCCCGACATTCTCCGCTTGCTCCCCCTGTACCTACCTGCCCGATTGATATTGACCCGGCCTGCCTGACGACGCTTGCATTGTATGTACTGTTATCTGTGGGTGGTTGGTTTGGTTTGTTTGCACTGTGTTATGTTTTAGTATTGCACTGCGTTTATGTTTGTATTGTTAGTGTTAATAAATTACATTGTTTATAACATATCTGAAGTCTGCGTTTCCCTGCGTCAGTCACACACCTCTGGTCACACCCGGGAGCCCTGACAGTACCTGTCAGGGCAGGGGCCGAGGAACGGACAGGCAGGCCTAACAATGTAACGCACTGGCTGACGACAACCACCAATGTCAGGGCAGGGGCCGAGGAAACGGACAGGCAGGCCTAGCAATGTAACGCACTGGCTGACGACACCACCAATGTCAGGGCAGGGGCCGAGGAACGGACAGGCAGGCCTAACAATGTAACGCACTGGCTGACGACAACCACCAATGTCAGGGCAGGGGCCGAGGAACGGACAGGCAGGCCTAACAATGTAACGCACTGGCTGACGACAACCACCACCCACAGACCGAAGTCCCTCAGGGCGCGGAGTCTAAGTCCCAGGCTGCCCTTCACCAGGGCCCCTGATGGTGGGGATGGACTTGACGCAGCCAGGAACCAGGTCGCGGCCCCCGAGACACCTCAGCTGCGGTAATGGCCACCGCCAATGGCGTTGTAGCTGGTGGAAGAGACAAAAGAGTAGTCAGACAAGCCGGGTCAACAACAACAGGACAAAACAGTACAGGACAGCAGATGAGAATCACAGGTCACAAGCCGGGTTCAGCAACAGAGGGTCAGATCAAAGGAGAATACAAAGAATAGTCGAGTCACAAGCCGAATCAGATACCAGAAGAGTCACAAGAGTCAGAACAGAGTAATAGCAACACAAAGACACAAGACACAAGTGCAAAGAGCATGTGCGGGCCACAGGCTTATATGTCATCAGCCACACCCCTCTGGGGGATGGACCACAGAGACCTGAAGGCATAAAAGGATTCCCACCATGCACAGCAGAATGCAAGATGGACGCCAGCACATGGAGTAACATAACCTCAGGGAAAAGGTAGGACCTTGACAGTACCTATAGAAAACTTCATCTTTAAAGTGGTTGTAAACCTTTGAAATGAAAACCCCATGAGACTGTGTAGAGGGGTGAATGTCCATCAAGTGTCAGATTACACTCAGCTCCTTGCTCTATGCTGTGCAGTATGTGACATCAGATCCTCACCACTTGCCTCTTGACATTTAGAAATGTTGTGTAAAATGTGTGTTTTATGAGAATGTGGAAAAGAGAGGGCTGCAGGTAAACAGGAGTAACTCTTATAAGAGAATTAATTTCATCTCAGTGTATCAGCTGAGGCCAGTCACTTCACTGGGTATACTGTAAGGGTTTCTTTTAAAGCTCTTGCTGCTTGTTAAAATTCTGCAAATACATTATTATCCATAGTCTAGGTTTATCTAGACACAACTGTCTTTTTTTTTTTTACATCAGCTGAACCCTTCACAAGTTGTGTTTTGATGCCACTATTTCCATATAAAAAATGACAATGCTACTTG